TCTCTCTCTCTCTCTCTCTCTCTCTCTCTCTCTCTCTCTCTCTCTCTCTCTCTCTCTCTCTCTCTCGTGGGGGCGCGCGCGCGTGCGTGCCTTTTTGTCTTGCGATAAAGTTTCAACCGGTACATATTGCACTGCCCTTTCTTGCACGACAAGGCGCACGGGAGAGAGAGAGAGATAGGGGAAGTGAAAGAGAGGCAGAGAGAGATGAACTGACGCAAAGAAGTGACACATATAGCACAAACAAGTTATGATCGTATATGTCGGATACATCCGTTACACAAGCCCGAGCACATTTCCCTAATGTTTCATCCGCCACATTAGGGAAACGTGCTCTAATACTTATTCCACGCCCTTCCTTTCATGACAAGACATAACTGCATGCACGCGCGCGCGCGCGCGCGCGCGCGCGCGCGAGAGAGAGAGAGAGAGAGAGAGAGAGAGAGAGAGAGAGAGAGAGAGAGAGAGAGAGAGAGAGAGAGAGAGAGAGAGAGGGAGAGAGAGATGTATCCTCTACATATTCTTGCCGGTGGCGGATACATCCGGTACATATTCTTGCCTGTGTTTGATTTTTCACAACTCAGGAACCACATACAAATGTCCCCATACACATCAACAATGACAGACACCACCACATACAAATTTCCCCATACAATGACAAACACCTTAACTGGAAACACATCTGATTGCTGGAATGTCAAAATTCAAAAAGCGAAAAGGCGGGCGAAATACCCGTGCGAGAAAGGAAGCAGACATCAACACGAATATCCCACAAATCGACCCATCAACCTCCATTAAGGAGCACTTGAGGAAGTTACGCAAATAAAGTGACACCTAATATCTGAAGAAGAGAAATATACAAGAATTCTCAAACAACACCAGGGATTTAGGATCCTATAGGCCGGATACATCCACTGCACAATCCCGACCTAGAGAACTGGCCACACATACTCAAACTTATCCTACAGAACAGATGATCGACGCCATCTTGCATCTGATTGCTGGAATGTCACAATTTGAAAAGCGGAAAGGCGGGCGCAAACCCCGGGCGAGAAAGGAAGCGAACATCAACATGAATACCCCATAACTCGATCCATCAACCTTCCTAGGCACTCCCTTAACGAGCACTTTAAATCTCATGTTATTGTACCTTTCAGGCAACCCTCGTACCTTTGCCTCTTTATTCAGATAGTCCACAACCGCCTTAAATGCACTAGAAGCGAATGACGTGTCATAGACCGAGTTATAAAACTAGTCGACGAAGTCTACAACGTGCTCTCTGAAATCTACTGAAAGAAGGACCCAGTGTTCGCAATCCTTGTGAATGGGGATGAGTAATATATCGTACTCGAAAAGGAGGACATTTTGCATCCACCTGCTGACCCCTCTAAAACCTTGCGACTGCAACTTCGTAAAGAGAAAGGAGAGGAAGTTGTACATTTTGAACGAAGATCAACGACAGTCCCTGGTGAGGAGAGCCAAGTAAAAATTAACGACCTCGTCGTTAAGCTCGCCGCCTCTATCCAATAATGTCACCATGTCGTTTACCCTAATCACCAAGTTCTCGGCCGGGAGGCGAGCAATAACCATCACCGGCGCTAGGCAACACCGAACAAGCTTGTCCATCAACTTGGACGATTCTTCCTGATTTCCTCCGACGCCTGACATGCATACGTCTGCTGCACAGTCCAACCAAGCAACACGCATGAGCATGAGAAGGATGACACCTTAACTGTCTGAGCCGTTCCGTTCTTTGCTTTGTGCTTTAAAAGTATTATAAATCTGCACCCCTCTACTTGTACTTCTAGAAAAGTATGGCGCGGGTACAGGAAGCGGAGAAATGGAGCACTTCTTGCAAACTTTGATGCGCAACTTCTCAAATGTGTCAGAACTCATACCCGCAGCTTCTATAATCTGAATATCCCTTCTCGACAATCGCGGCATATTCGTCTTTCTAAGAGACTACTCCAAGTTTCTGCGCACGACTCATGAAGGAGATGGCCGACTTGTACAACAAGTGAAGAAAAGGTGATTGTGAATATAACACATCGCCACACTGCACAACCAAGGGGCAACCAGCAATTACCCACATATCCAAACATATCGCCGCCCGCCACATCGAAAAGTAAACTCCTGGTGCTCATACAAAAGTTGGACCCAAACGTGAGCAACTCAAGTCACTGATTAAACTCCAACTGCTCATACACTACACCGACCCAAATGTGAGCAACACATGTCATTGCTTACCAGCCACGACTTCGTGTCGAAGATGTTCCTTCTCGTCTAAACCTTTCGATTGTGGCAAGTCTTTTCCTAGACATGTCGTGCTTAGACCCAGCACGAACTCTTCAATCTAAACCGATGCCATAATGCCATCTAACCGGGATGGAAACCGGGACAGGTCCTTAATGTCTGCGTCGACGAGGCAAACAACTTTTTCCGGAGCACCGGGGCAGAACTCTACAGGACGACCAGCTGTCCCGCCACTCCCACGGATGGTTAGAACTTCATCTTGAGGAGTCAATAATTGTGAAGAGGGAGAGATGACAACGGGGGAATCGAATTCGCGGAAAAGTGTCTTGACAAGATCATCTTCGATCGGAYGACRGACTRCAACCTCATCCCCTTCCAGCATGGTGACGTCTTCRTCCTCRTTGCACTGGTCCGACACGACTATAGCCGTAATGATTTTYGAGGGCCGCATGCCAGGCAACCYTGAACATAACTGCGAGACATACCCGCCCTGGGAACCRCCACAATGTGCATCACGAGGTGGAGTCTCCTGGTCTTCCACACCCAGGGCAGGGGTGTTATCCGTGCTGCGTGGCTGCTGCTCCGTCGGTGGTGGAGTTTGCTCTGCACCGACACGCAGGCTTCGACGGCGGATACATCCGGTGCCGGCAAAAGAACCGCCATCACGCACCCCGGGCCCCTTCTGCCCGTCCGCAGGTTTCTCCGAGGCAATCGTCAGCGAGACATGCCCGCCCTCAGGACCACCATAATGTGTGTCGAAGGGTGCACCCTCCTGGTCTTCCATACCCAGGGCAAGCATGTCGTCGGTGCTGCTGAGTTGATGCGCCGGTGGTGGAGTCTGCTGGTCTTCCATATTCAGGGCAAGGGTGTTATCCATGCTGCGTGTTTGCTGCGAAGTGTGTCTGACAACAAAGTCCTCCTTCCGCTCTGCATTGTCACGGAGGCTTGGACGGCAGATACATCCGGCGCCGGCAAAAGAACCGCCATCACGCAGCCCGCGCTCCTTGTGCCCTTCGAATCCCATCTGGGGGAAGTATGACCCGCCTGCAGGTTTCTCCGCGGCATCCGTCAGTGAGACATGCCCGCCCTCTGAACCACCATAATGCGTGTCAAAGGGTGCAGTTTCCTGGTCTTCCGTACCCAGCGCAAGGGTGTCGTCGGTGCTGCTGAGTTGACGCGCCGAGGAGCGGATATGTCCGCCACCGGCTGAAAAGCTTCAGGCAACTAAGTCCTCTGTCTACTCCACACTGACGCGCTCGCACGCATGGCGGATACATCCGGTGCCGGCAGAAAAAATTCCAACCCGCAGCCCTCGCCCCTTATCCACCTCAGACCCCGTTGCACAAGGACTCGCAAGAGAATCTGTCCTTTCGGTGGAGTATGACCCTCCTACAGGTTTCTCCACCACATTCTCTCAGTCTAGGAGAGTGGCATCCGTAACAACTTCGCACTCCCGAGTGTCGCGTCCTAGATCCTTAGTGGAAGCCACGTCGACCGACTCCGCATCTTCCATGAAATTGGATCCGGCAGAAACTGTACCGCGGATACATCCGCTGCCTGGAAATGCGTGTTGTCCTTGGCCAACAAGTTCATAAGCTTGCAGCGCATGCATCGGCGGTGGAGATTCCACCTGCGGTGATCCCTACCCAGTTTGTGAGCTCGCACCTTCTGCCGAAGCCATGCCACCCATTCCGCCTGCGATTGTGACCCCTCCCGCGCTCGTAATATTTCCGCGTTGTGCGCCGCCCCCTCTATTGTCACTTGCTCCACCATGTCCACCGTGACCGCCGGCGCGGGTTCTGTCCTCACCTCCTCCGTCCCCTCCTTCGTCATCTCCTCCACGTCCGCCCCGTCCAGCTCCCTCTCCTCGTGTTGGGGCAGGAGGCGGAATATGCCAGTCAATGTTAGCCTCATAACTTGGACTTGTTTCGAGGTAATAAAAGTCACGACACAACTCCAACATGTTGTGTTCCCGAAGAATCTCATATGTCTGCTCTCCGAACACTTTGACGACAAACTCATCTGGTTGACGACAGTTTACCTCCGCGACGTGGTCGATAACCGCTTGGAGGGCGGCCTCTTCAAACACCTTTTTTGACGAATGGGGTTCTGATTTCCATTCGCCCTTATCATTGAACGCCATAACCCATTCGCTATCAATAACTGCTGGTTGGAACACATCTGGATGCCAAACTATATGATGACCCCAATCAGACTCGTCGGTGCTCCTGTGCGTTTTCCCGAAGAAATAGAGTTGACCTTTCTGCAATCTCAACGTGTGCGTCAGCGGAAGAGGACGTCCAGGCTTGACAATGGGGCTTAGAGCTTTGCTTCTCATAGAGGAAAGAAATCCTCTTGAAGAACCCGAGGTTGGCCTTGCGACAGGAGTGACGACAATGGAGTGACGACAGGTAAACACGCAGCGTGCTTGGAACTGGAAGGCGTTGAAGAGGACGCCATACCTGCAGTATATTTGTGATATATCGTCTCTAAATCCAACGGCTCCTCACCTTCGCTGACTTCTTCCTCGTCGTTTGCGTTGAAATTGTCCTCTTTGGTGAACTGAGCCTTGTAATAATTTAACGTGAGTTCCATCTTGCCATTGTCGAAATAGCGTTCCTCAAGTTTCTCCACGAAGTTGGCCGCAGCCTCCCTAGAAGCACCATGGTAGCCATCCAATGCCCCGATCACGACATCTCGTCGGCACTTGTGGTCGTCCTCGAATCTTAGTTTGGGTCGTGTGTCGAGGAAAAGAAACTTGTATACACTCGCCCTTTTCTCAGCTGATAGCTTGAACCACATATTCCTGTCTGGATCATGGTCGACCTCTTTCTGCACCTGGTAGAATTCACAGTTGTCCACACCCGTATGCACCTCATGCGCAACATATGTCATCAAAAAGTTGAGGAGCTTTGTGTCTCCCTCGATGGCCACAACATGACGCCCGCTCTTGAGGACTTGCCACACAACCTGGGCGTGTGCTTTGCCGATGAACATAACTCCATTTTCGAYTGGGCAGAAGAACTCTATYTGACCCAATAGCATAACYGGGTGGCGCTCCATTTCCTTATAGACRAACCCCTTTAGGTGGTGCACGCCTGCCAATGCATACGTCGTGGCCATGAACTGTGTTTCGGCAATGTCCGAGGGTGTGCACTTCTGCCTTTTCCCAAGAGCTGCAGCGTCATCGTCCGRCAATCGCCCCTCATATGTCGGTGGGGTGTTAAGCTTCAGATCATCCCCATGGAAAAGAACATACATCCTGTCCTCCTCGGCCCACACACTGTTCCCGATTTGGTAGTGCTTCTTAACTTKACTCCTCCGAACCCATTTTCCTGCACAACCATTCGTGACAGGAAGAATGTGCAGAAGACCCATGAAGGAGAGGTCCCATTGCCTGGGAACGAAAGCAATCAGAGTYCRRAAATCAGGACACACAGCTTCAAGGAATGCCGCCAATGACCGGAAAGCCTCCTCATTCCAACGTGCTCGGTCAACGGGATCGCAGAAGTCRATGATGCAAGTGTGGCATCGCAGCTGCGTCACAACTTTCCTYATCTCATCCTTTCTCAAGAAAGYCGTGAAGGCGTCGTAAGCAAATGGTGCGAGGGTTGTCACTTGACTGGTGTGCTTCCATTTGACATTGGTGCATTCTCCCAGTGCTTGCGGCCCCTCTTCTGTCTTGCTACGTTCGCCTTTCAGCACGGACAGCACAAACCGCTTCCACTCAGTTGGAAACTTCTCGTGATTGACCAACTTCATCATCGCCGCCACGTCCTTATCACTCGGACAACCGAGACACTGGGGGCATTCCTTGAGGTACGAGTGATCAGTGACCCATTTCCTGCAGCCCACCCACCATTTCTCATCCAGTCCCTTGGAGGCGTACTCTGCCATCAATTGCTCCTTCGTCCGGAAAAAGGAGTCATTCCAATCATCGTTGTCGCGGCCCTCGTGCTGTAATTGCACAATATGCCACAGCCGGAGCAACATCCGATCTTGCTTGACCATTTCACAAGCATCCTTCATCCCAACCTTCCCCTGCTCAATCAACTTTTTGCTTCCTGTCTGCACCCAGACAATGTCCAAGTCCAGTAACCCTCGCAGGATCCGACGTTTCTCCGCATCTGTGAAATCCCCCAAGTCTTTCCAACAATGCACATCGGGTTAATTCACTTGCACGAAAAAGTCGCGCTCCTCCTGTTTCCTTTTCTTCTTTCCTTTCCGCATCTCCGGATCAGTCACACGCACATTATACACAACTCTCTTATGGCGACTGTTGTCCTCCGCAAATGATTGACCCTCACGGGTGACTTTCGGGTCCGCTGTTGGAGGCTTCTTCGTCCACACAGCGCCATCAGGGGCGAGCAGATAACCCTTCTCCCACTCGTCGTAGAACTTCATGCCAAGCTTCCACGTTTCGTCGTCCGTCATGACCAAAGGCAAGTAGTACCTCAGTTTCTCCATCCATTCCTTTTTCTTCGATTTCTAATCAGCCAACCCCCAAAGGTTGAAGTAAGGCGTTTTCCTCAAGGCAGCTTTCTGAAACTCTTCGTATTTGGCGACCAAATTCTTCTTGAACTTTATATTGTCGGTGACTGCATGAGGACGCTTCAAGTTATTCCACTCCTGACGAATGTCTGCCATTGACAATCGCTGAGGCCGAGGAGGGGCTAACTTGTCCTTCCTATTCTCGTTCACGCTTATCTGCGTATAACCGTCGAAGTCCTCCTCGGTGAAGTACAACGGCTTGAAGGGCCAGTCGGAGAAGGTATACTTCTCCCAAATCTCGTGGTTTCTCAACTCCAGCGCAGCCTTGACATTGTGCTGCCCGCTCACAGCATAGTACCAGTGCTCGTTCGGGTTCTCCACATCGAATTTGTCCGGGGTCACCCGAACAGCCTTCCGTCCGGGGCTAGGAAGCCCTACAATTGGCGCCAATTTCAAAATTGGCTTCTCGTACGTCTTTCCTTTCTTCTTGAAGGCATCCATCATACACCGCAGTATATATGCCGTGTGGGTTGGGTCGATCGAATGATGATTGTACAGCCTTTCCCACGCCGGCAACTCCAAGACCGTCTCCGGGTTGATAGAAAGAGTGACATCTTTCTTTACACCCTCTTTCCATTCCAGAAAGTACCCGGCGTCCAGATCGACAACCTTTTCCTTGTCGTCCTCACTGTCGTTTTCATCTGCTCGTGCCCGCTTGCCTTTCGATGACCCCTCCCCCGTTCCACCTCCCCGTCTCGCCTTCGGTGTTTCCGGGTTCCTCCCTCCCGAGTTCCTCTTCTTGTCAGATGTCTGGCGAGGGGTACTTGTTTTCCTTTTCTTCTTGTCCGATTGTACGGCCTGTCTGTGTTCGTCTCCAGCCCCCTCGCTGCCAGATTCTTCTCCGCTTCTCTTTTCTCCCACCGCAACAGGTCTTTTACCCATGTCCCTTGGCTGCTCCGCAACCTCATGATCTCCTCCCGATGTGCTAACTCCAGTTGTCTTCGCCCCAGTCGACGGCTCATTCGTAGCACTCACTGGACCCTGAGCCACATCGGCGACCGCCCCCTCCACATGTCTGCGTTCGACAGCTTCACCTTCCGGCTCGGATTCTTCATAAGCACCTCAGGGCTCTGGCTGCTCAGGAACGTAGCTAGGGTCAAGCACTCCAGTCGCACCCTCTGTAGCAACAACAGTCGACATTTCTGAAGTTCGCGTGCGGTCCTCGTCATCGCCAACGTATGAGATCGGCATTGAAATACGATGCTCCTGCGGCACATCTAAACACCTGGCTGGCAGCACCACTCTCTCCCACTCATCAAAGAAGACCCGCAAGAGAACATTTCGTTCTAAATCTGATGTTATGGCCGTGTAAAATGGAAGCATGGTGGCTTGTTTGCCGAAACCCCGAAACTTTTTCCAAGACAATCTGACACCATGGGCGTCATCGTCAGGACGACCGTCCTTCCCGTATGTCGTTTGAAGGGTGAAAGTACGAACTCCTTCCGAACAATTTCCCCACCCGCTCACGGCCCCGGCGAGCCGAAAATTCTTATGGTCTCTCACGAAGACGACTCCACCGCAAGGTGGACTCGTCAGCACAGACTCGTTAGCAGAAACCCAATCAAGAAACCACTGCCGGTTGTCGTACTTGTAGTACGAAGGATTTCTCTTCGTCCCGCCGCTGTGCCTGCCACCCGAAGAAGCACGCTGACCGCGTTCCGCTACTGGAGCACCGCCAGAAGTCGAGGCCGGCCCACCACGATTTCCACCAGACTCATGCCCTGCTCGGTCGGTAGCCGTTCCTGCAGAGTCATGTCGTTCGCCAGCACCAGCGGACGCCATTTTATCTGCATTTGTCAAGCAAGAAGAAGAACAAGCTACTCAGCATGATAGTAAACAGAACGACGTTGACGATGCCCATACTGAGCACATGGCAGTCCAAGGCGCTCGACAAGGGCAGAGTCTTCATCCTCAGCGGTGGATATATCCGCTATAAAAGGCAGCAACTTGACTTTTACGATGCTAAACCTGAGCACATGGCATTTTGAAGCAGATGTATTTGCGACGGGGTCGACGTTAGACGAGGTGCCGATGTATCCGCTGCATGGACAACGACGTCGAAGCACCACACCAGGACAGCGCAGGGTCTTGATCCTCAGCTGCGGATGTATCCGCCGCATGGACCGTGACACGACATAGACCCTGATGTCTGGGGTGGATGTATCCGCCGCATGGACCGCGAGCAACCGATGCCGAGATTGTGAAGGGCAAGGCCATCATCCTCAGCTGCGGATGTATCCGCTGTCGAATGAAGCGGCACTACTTCAATAACGGACACATTCGCCGCCACTGCCCGACCTCGAAGTACTGTTCGATCGCTCAGAGCAGGGTCTGATCCTCGGCGACGGATGTATCCGCCAGAGGAGGAAGCGACGCTATTCTACACGGAAAATGCTCATACTAAGCACATGGCGGTTCGGGGTCATCGTCCTCATGTCTGGGGTGGATGTATCCGCCGCATGGACAGCAAGCAACTGTCGCCGTGCGCTTGTGAAGGGCAAGGTCATCATCCTCAGCCGCTCCAATTAATTTTGCACCTTCAGCGGATGTATCCGCTATCAAATGAAGCAACACGATTCCAATAACGGATACATCCGCGGCTGAGGATGTATCCACTGCCCGACCTCGAAAATACTGTGCGATCGGTCAGGGTAGGGTCCTGTTCCTCAGCGGCGGATGTATCCGTTATTGACAATGCTCATACTAAGAACATCGTTGTTCGGGGTCATCTTCCTCATGTTTGGGGTGGATGTATCCGCCACATGGACCGCGAGCAACCGGTGTCGTGGATCATCCTCAGCGGCGGATGTATCCGCTATCGAATGACGCAGTTCGACATTGACAATTCTCGTACTAAGGACATGGCGGTTCGGGGTCATCGTCCTCATGTCTGGGGCAGATGTATCCGCCGCATGGACCGTGAGCAACCGTTGCCGTGCGCTTGTTAAGGGCAAGGTCATCATCCTCAGCGGCGGATGTATCCACTGTCGAAAGAGCAGCACGACGTCAATAACGGATACGTCCGCCGCTGACGATGTATCCACTACACGACCTCGAAGTACTGTGCGATCGGTAAGGGCAGGGTCCTGATCCTCAGCGGCGGATGTATGCTATCCGCCGCGGGATTGATATCAAATGTGGAGCGGATGTATCCGCCGCATGGACGATGACCTCGAACTGCTGAGCGCTCATTAAAGACAAGGTCTTCATCCTCTGCGTCATTCCCATATCGAGGCCGGTGCATACCCAGTGGCGAAAGGGCACCGGCCTGAAACCTCATTTACCATAATCAACTTTCACGTATGTGTGGCGGATATATCCGCGACGCGGTAAGCGGGCGGAATCCTCTCAGAGGATATAGCAGCACACAAAACAGAGAAACCACACCCGTGCGTGTGGGGCCGATGTATCCGCCGCATGGACCGCAAGCAACCGTTGTTGTGCGCTTGTGGAGGGCAAAGTCATCATCCTCAGTGGCGGATGTATCCACTGTCGAATGAAGCAGCACGACTTCAATAACGGATACATCTGCCGCTGACGATGTATCCACTGAGCGACCTCGAAGTCATGTCGTTTACTCCTCTGGCTCAGGGTAGGGTCCTAATCCTCAGTGGCGGATGTATCCGCCAGAGGAGTATGCGGCACGACTTGCACCCTTCTCAAAATGAGACCTGCTAGTAAATCATTTCGAATTTGACAATGCTATCTAGCATGGATTGATATCAAATGTGAAGCGGATATATCCGCCGCATGGACGATGACCTCGAACTGTTGTGCGCCCGTTAACCACAATCGATTTTCACGTATGTGTGGCGGATATATCCGCTATACGGTAAGCGGGCAGAAACCTCTCAGAGGATATAGCAGCGCACAAAACAGAGAAACCACACCCGTGCAGAAATTGCGCATCCCGAGATCGTGTGGTGGTTGTAATCAACGCAGAGGACGTTTCCCCCCCTGGCAACTAGCGCTTTGTGCCTTCGATGTCCACGTATGTATGGCGGATATATCTTCCGCAGGAAGTGAGCAAAAACACACCGGCCTCGAAACCTCATTAAGCACCTCCGACGCCCGTGTTTGTTTGACGGATATATCCTCTGCACACCAAGCGGGCGGAGACCTATTAGAGGATATGCAGATGTACTCTGTGAAGTTTTTCGTTGCTTGCTGTGTAGCGGATATATACGCCACACAGACATGGACGACGAATGTTGTTTTCTCCGTTACGTTTTTGCTATAATGTTGTATGGGGGATATATCCGCCAGACATACGTGGACATCAAACGCGGGTGTTGTGTCTGTGTTCTGCACTGATATATGCACTCTGTGAAGCTTGCCGTCCATTGCTGTGTAGAGGATATATCCGTCACACAAACATGAACGTCGAATGTTGTTTTCTCCGTTACGTTTTTGCTGCACTACTGTGAGGCGGATATATCCGCCACACAGACGTGGACATCAAGCGTGGGTGTTGTTTCTTTGTTTTGCACTCACAACAGATCATACTGGCGGAACATCTCAAAGGGTATAACGCCATACAAAACAGAGCAACCACACCCGTGCACAATTTACGCATCCCGAGATCGTGTGGCGGTTATAATCGACACAGAGGATGTTCCCCCCCTGTTAACCAGCGCTCTGCGCCTTCGGTGTCCACGTATGTGTGAAGTACATATCCACCACAACAACTGAGCGAAAACACACCGGCCGCGAAACCTCATTAACCACCTTCAACGTCCGTGTTTGTGTGCCAGATATATCCTCTGCACACCGAGCGGGCGAAGACATCCTAGAGCATGCATCACCTGTGCTTAATGTCCATGTCTGTGCGGCGTACATAATAGAGAAACAACACCTCCTTTGATGTCCACTTCTGTGTGGCGGATATATCCGCCATACATTAGTTGAGCAAAAACCTCATGGGAGAAACAATATCCGACGTCCATGTCTGTGTGGCGGATACATCCGCTACACAGCAAGCAGCCGGAAACTTCAAAGATTTCATATATATGCCCGTGAATAACAAAGAAACCACCCATGCACCCACCATTCATACCCTGTAACGTCACAAAAATGTGTGGTGTTGTAAACGACACAGAGGGTGTTTTCCCTTTTCATGGAAGTTGGTCTTCAATTGAAGGTAACTTTGTCTTACGAAACCCGTTTGGAAAAGCAAAGCAAAGCTGTACGAAAAACAGTTGTTGGAAAGGAAAACCGCTCAAACAACAGACTGTCCTTTTCCGTTGGCAAACAACGCTCCACGCTTGATGTCCACGTCTGTGTGGCGGATATATCTGCCGCACAGTGTCTGAGCAAAAACCTAATGGAGAAAAACGTTCACGTCTGTGTGGCGGATATATATCCGCCATACAGAAAGCGGACGAAAACCCCTCGTGCGGTATGAATCCTCGTGCAAAACAGAGAAACTGAACCCATGCACGATTCATGTCGTGCACAATCATGAAATTATGTGTTGTTTGTAAACGACACAGAGGATGTTTTTCTCGCTGCCATCCAGCGTCTGTGTGGCGGATTTATCCTCCGTACGATAAGGAGAAGTGTCCCGGGCAAAAGTTGAGCTAAATCTTGTTCCCAATAATTCGTGTGACTAACAAAAGCACAAGTTCGATGTGCTACTGAAACCAGTTCGATGCACAACAAGAAGGGGGTTGAATGCACAAGTAGAGGGGTTTGATGCACGACAAAATGCGGTTTGTATGCACAAGCAGAGAGGTTGCAGTAAGGGGTTCCGATGCACAACATGATGGGTTTGATGCACAACAAGAGTGTTCGATGCGCAACAAGAGGGGTTCGATGTACAATAGGAGACTTTCAATACACAACAAGAGGGTTTCGATCTTCTACAAGATGAGGTCCAAAAGTTCCATGCGTGACAATATCGGATATGTTGGAAAGCACAGCACAACGCGTGATGATGACGTCAACGTACCTTACTGCTGATCGAATGGCTGCCTCCCTCGTTCAGCGACAGTTCTCAACAACCCGTGGTCCGCTGTGCTCGACAGACCTTAATGAAACCTCGAACAGGATCGCGATCGTCGTTCAGGAAGATGGCGGAGGATGGGGCAGCATGGAGATGGAAGAGCAAGAAGAAGGATTATAGTCGATGAAGATGGCTAACAACGACATGAAGTAGCGTGAAAAAAGAGATGGCGATCGGGACAGGGATGGCGGGGGAATGTAAATGGGGATCGGGACAGAGATGGAGGAAGAACCAAAATGGCGATCGGGATAGAGATGGCGGGAGAACAAGATGGCGACGGGACAGGGAGGGCAGGAGAACGACGATGGCGATCGGGACAGAGATGGCGCGTGGAAGATGATGGCGTGTGAAAGATGATGGCGCGGGAAGACGATGGCGCGAGTAAGATGATGGCGCGAGGAAGATAATGGCGTGAGGAAAATGATGGTGAGAGGAAGATGATGGCGCAAGTAAGATGATGGCGCAAGAAAGATGATGGCGCGAGGAAGATGATGGCGCGAGGAAGATGATGGCGCGAGGAAAATGATGGTGCGAGGAAGATGATGGCGCGAGTAAGATGATGGCGCGAGGAAGATGATGCCGCGCGAGGAAGATGATGGCGCAAGGAAGATGAAGGCGGGAGGAAGCTGAAGTTGGCCAAAAGAAGGCAACGAGACGCAAAAAAGTTGATGGCGCGAGTAAGATGATGGGGCGAGAGCGCTAGTAAGAGGATTGCGCGAGGAAGATGATGGCGGGCGGGATGGGACAAAGACGACGCGGGGGCAGGCGGTACGAACGACGATGGCGGGCAGGATGGAGAAGGTCCACGAAGATGGCAGCAGCGCGAGAGGAGAAGTCGAGCAAGGCGTTGTGCACCGACCTTGAAAAGTCGTGAACGGTAGCCCTGGTCTCTGCCGCGTCAACAAAACGCTGAAGTGTGTTCCAAGAAGTCATATGCCGCCAAGAGAAGGCGGGACCGCTTCAAATTTTTGGCGCCGACCTGAAATTTTCTGAAACGCCAAAAGGTCTCCCAACTTTTCGAAGGGTCTGGCCCGCCTTCGGCCCTGCGCGTGTCGGCCTCCGAAATCGGGTGGCGCTCGACCAAAATGGTTCATCCGACGGTCGAGATGCAACTGTTCGTCGGGCTCGAGCAGTTGCTATGCTTAAGAAATGTGTCCATTGTAGCTTCCTTGGTTAGCTTAGTCAATTTTCTGCGGATTCTAACCCCTTGCCATCTATATTGTGTGAACTGCAATAACCAATTTTTGAGTTGCTGCATAGTCTCTATTTGATCTTGTGAGGCTGCCTGGTTTTCCAAGTCGAGGAGTTCTTTGTGCAAGTCCATTTCCTGTCGATGTCACTGCGCAGCTCTGTCTTTGGAGAAGCCTTTGCATTTTTTTTGCAAGAAAAAGAAGACCACCATTAAACATTCGTATCTGTCACGCGGGGATCCCCGGGGCCCAATCCAGGGTAGGGGTTTCACCCCCGGACCCCCACCGCGGGGCTACCCAACCCCC